GTATTGAACCGGAAGCTGAATAAACGCTGGGCGATTTACAGAAGACCGATGAGACCGTGTGCCTTTTCGAATGTGTGGAGGAAGAAGCGCAAATCGCACTTGATAGACTAACAAGTGATGTAACATCATTCGCCTTGCACCTTCAAAGTGCGAAGTAATGCTGCAATACTAAGTGGCTTCCAGTTTCACTTTGAATATAAATAACCAGAAATTAATTGCAGTTGATTGGTTTTGTCATTGAGGTTGTTATTTGACAAAGAACGGTGGCGCAGCAAAGGAGATAACCACTCGCAGTTCCTGGGCTTGAGTATCATACGCAGGACTGAAACACGCTTGGAGGATATCTGGTGTTTTAATGAAGTTCAAGAGTCGAGTTTATTGCGCCACAGTTCGTTCAGTTCTGTTTCACCCTTGNTGAGACGTTGAGATTGCGAGTAGATGATTTCCATCAACTAGAAGTTTCCGATCGTTGGTATTTACGTAGTTTGGCTTCATAGAGATGAAGCGAACAGATTGGTAATATGAAGGTAAGTGACCGTATGTTTGGGAGTTTATTGAGGATAAATTTTCAAGGGCATGGAACTCAGATTAATTGGTCTCACTGGTTATGACACGTACTGAGCATGCCCAGCTGTCATCTACCGAACCGCGCCTTATCTGCAGTTGCGGCTCCAGGTTGAAGGAAACCCCATGGAGGTCAAAAGATGACGTGGAAAAGAAGCATGAAGAAATGCACAGAGCGATTAGTAGAGTAGGTTACTAGCACCTTTCAGGCTGGGATCCGAAAGACTCTGCAGCTGGTTGGTTGGAGACAATGAAGGTTATGGCAGCGATTCGACGGCAATGGCGTTCTTGCTGTCACTTCCTATCAGTCCAGAATACTTGAAAAGATGTGTGTACCTACAGTTAGGTTGTGTATTCTATGCTACCAAAAGAGGTTCTCCTTTCCTCCGCCACTCCTTTGAAATAGGTTCAATCCCAGTTTGCCTAGCGTATCTTCACTAAATTTCAAAGTCAAAGTTTTATCACGGGAAACAATTACAAGCGGTTGTTTTTTCTTGTCCTATAGGGTTTAGACATGTTTTACTCAGTGGTGCTTGAAAGAATTGATCGTGGACGCGGAAACAACGAGGGGGTAGGGAATTGCAAATACTGGACATAATGAGGGCAAACGAATGATGTCGACATTCTAGTCGACAGTTTCGGAACACTTATTTGAATGAGTGACCCCTGAACTGATTGTTGGGCAACAAGGTTGACAGTGAACGACATGGGTGTTCAGGGTTCTACATTATTTGATACACCAAAATCAAGTCCTCCCTGGGAATCGGCAATACTGTGTAGAGTACAGTCCTGATGATTTCATTCTTTCCACATAAGTCTTGTGAAGCAGTCCCCTGACCATTTTTTTGATCATTCTTCGTGGACGTTCCAGAATTTTACGATCGCGTTGCAACCCTGGATTCCACGCTTAAATTGCATACTCTATATAGGGTCGAATGCAGGCTGATAACAACCGATAGAATAGCGTAGGTTGAAATTTGCCAAATACTCGCTTTAGCAAACCAACAAATCTTATCGCGGTGGACGACACCCTGGAGCAGTTTAAAGAACAACTTAGGTCACCTTGAACAATGACACTGAGATTCTTCCCATTCCAGACATACGAAAGTTGTTGATATCTCAAGAAGTACGGAAACCGAGTTTCGTGGCGAAGGGATACGATCTTACATTTTGATACATTAAATTCTATGTTGTTTTCGATCAACCATTGATAAGTAGCACTAAGTGCTTTCTGAAGTGCCAGCTAGTCCTCGGGACTTGTCACTGTTTTCCACAGTTTTGTATCGTCTGCAAACATTAACGCTTACGGCCCTGGAATGCCCGTTAGGTCGTTTATGAAAACTAGAAAAATTTGTGGGCCAAGAACGGATCCCTGTGGAACTCCTTGTGCTACCCTGATAGGATCAGCAAGTGACCCATAAACCCAAACTGCCGAAGAAATTCTTTTATCCAGCCCGGTACAAATCCCGGAATTTCATAACTGTGTAGTTTCCTCAGCAGTATTTTGTGGTTCACTCGGCCGAATGCTTTGGAGCAGTCAAGGTTCACTACGTCCAGTGCATCACCGTGATCAGCTGATTTTGTCCACTCTTCTCGGGGCAGAAACAGATTAGTGGTACACGATCGCCTGTGACAAAATCCATGCTGCGCCGGGGATAAAACGTCTTTCCAAGTGACTCATCACACTATCTGCAAGCATGGATTCCATGACTTTGGATAATACGGGGAGGGGAATAACAGGGTAGTTAACTGGGTCACTCCGACAACCACCTTTGTACCTTGGAGAAATCATTCCTTGTGTCCATGTTTGTTGGAGCACAGTTTTGTCAAACATGTTGAATAGTCCACTTAATCGCTGAGCCATGTTACTTGCCAAATTGAGAAAGGTTTGTGGAGAGATTTTATCTAACCCCGGAGATGAATACCTTTTCAAACACGGCAGTTACGATGCTATGATTTTTGGAGAAAAATCAATTGTGGTTACGTTTGGATTTGGTATGTTATCAAGTAACGGAGGCAGTTGTAGTCCGTTGTTCTCAGGTCCAGTGACCACTTAAACGTACTGGCTTTTTTAAGATTTCAGCTACCTCGCTCGTTGTGATTGAGACACGTGCTACCAGTCTTAGCGCTGGAATGCTAGGTTTGACTTTTCTGGGGGCAGTTATATGTTTGTACAATAGCTTGGAATTGGATATAAACTTACGCATCAGCATTTCTCGGTACATCAACCTGTCTTCTCGCACCAACTTGGTGCATTGGTTTCAAAGTAGGCAGTAGGTGCACCATGTGTTGTTACAAGGAACTCGTTCATAAGCTCTCCATGATATACTTCTCTGCGAAATCCACTTCTTCGTTCGACTGCTAATCGCTAATTTTTGACCAGTTCGGTGGATAATGTGTTGTTTGACCTTGGTCACGCTCTTTATCATTTCCGTGACGTGATTCGTCAATTCTGGTCAGGATATCAAGGGATCACACTGTCCATTGGGAAAATTTCACTTAACATTATCAGTATCATCATCATCGTACAGCGAGATACAGGGAAGTGAAATTCGCTGATTTCCGCAAAGCTCTCCATGTATACAAAGTGAGTTAGAAAGCAAAACATGGATAGGGTTCGGACCTAACTGAAGGGAGGTAAAGAGAGTGAACCTCTAAGTTTGGTGTAATCGACAAACATACAAGAGTTAACCGTAGAAATTTGCGGTACTGATGCATAGCCTATGTCGTCAAACATCAACACAACATGATCACCGTGTTACGGAAGTAGTCGAAATCGTTTTCACTATCAACTCCTCGTTCTCTAACATCTAGTCCAAAACCAACGACGACTAGCTGGCTCCGAACCTCGTTGGCTCCTCTAAAAAATTGTAAACTGGATACGATTCAATAAACTGTGGGAACTTGCCCTCAAACGTTTGTAGAGAGGTCACTGATTTAGCCAGGTTTGGGAAATTGAAATCGATGATAATGAGGACATCAGTGAACTTCAGTGAAAGAATGTGACATGTGTGCAACCGTGTCTCATGGGCTGAGTCTGTGGATAAAGGAGAGCAGCACATCACCCAGAGGTCAAGTCGATATCGCGTTGCGACAGTTGCATTTTGCACCACAGTGAGTTAGAAGCCGGAGCAGGATAATCAATTACTTCGTACTGTAGTTTGCTGCTAGAGCAGGATAGCACACCACCACAGCCGCTCGTAGGTCGATCGCGTCTGAGCAGCGTCATGTCGGGTTCGGAATATATGCATTGCGGTTATGGCAGTGATCAGTGAGGCAGGTTATATTGTATTTCGCTGTAGGATAATGATGAATTACGAGGAGTGAGAACAGCAAATATTTGTGCCAAGGCATCATGCTTCTCTGAGGAAGGATGAAATTACAGTAACAACTGGATTTTGATGAGACGCTCTGTTGTTATATTGCAGGCCCGTATAGTTGATCCACGGAACTTTCCGAATATGTCGCTGCTTCCTTAGCCGGAGGCAGTCACCACTGCAAATGGATTGCTTCGCTCTTGCAATATTTTAGACTGTCGGAGGCCTATCACAATAAAGATCCCAAAAGCATTCAACCGAATCGTTTGAGGTCTCCAAGCCAGTGTTAGCGTAGATATCCAAGTACTTTTACTGACAGAGTACAAACCACTTAACTTGGAAATGCTTCGTTTAAACCTAAAGCCAATAACTTTAGAGTGCATCAAGGAGCTGTGCTATCCTAATAATTATTTTCTTCACATATTTGCGATATTTAGTGTTTCTGTTGCACGTGTCAAAATATGCTAGTGTTACTGTTGTTGTTGCTAGAGCGAAGCTCACACAACCAGCCAAGCCGCGCATAGACTCGCATCACATGACAAGCGTGACACCCAAGGCGAGTCGAATCCGGATTGGATCGGACAACTGTCGTCCGATTCACCAATTGGAATGTCAAGGACGCAATCGGATTGGTGCTTCACCACGTCGCTCCCGTGCGCCCGATTTCCCACTTATGTTCGCGTATCGCATCATGATTATACACTATATTGTGATTGTTGTTCCCTAGTTGTTTTCTACGTCCCGTATTATTGTTAGAGGCTAGGCAATAGGCGGTCTTATCGATCGTATGTCCAGGCAGAACACAACAGTTGTGATAACCCATGTTTGTATTATCCAGCCAGAGTTCGTTCAACGATAATCTCTTTTAAATTCAGTTTCTCTCACAAACGGGCCAATTTGAAGACCCAGCAATTGTGCTGACTGCTTACGTGGTTCTTCTATACATTCGTCAATGGATGTGAAAAGGCACCTGAAGCATGTGCGATTTCGCTAATTTCACAAAGAAAGAGGGACAAAGACTGATAGCCTTAGTAAAGAAGCTAAAATAGCACTGACAATCATGGATAGATGCGAAAAAACTTCCGAGTTTTAAATGCTTTGGGATGGTCACTTGCCGTTCAGTTTCACAGTGATCTCCCGGTTCTCGTGATTCTCTTTTGCATTGTGTTCAAAAAAAAACAGTGAAAATCATCTAATGGAGTGACTAGCGATAGATCGCGTCCGAAAGACTCAGTATAGTCAGCGGTGAATGTCTGGGGTTGCGGCGGGTCAACTTTCCCTTGCACCTCGCGAAAAGCCCCCATACGACCAAGCGTCT